GTATGCTGTAGTCGGCAATCTTCCGTTTTGGTATAGAGTGGGACAGGGAGGGGGTGATGCTACTGCTGTAGTCGAACGATGGGACGGACGTGCAGTTCAGTTTTTGGGCACGCATACGGTGCTGCAGGGATTTTTAGGTGTACCTCTTCGGGCTTTTGGATACATTTTTCTCGTTATATGTGTGCGTGTTCTATAGATCCTCAGATGGCTCTAGCACTTTCGTGACCACGGGCTGAGAGTCTTACCTAGATTTTGGCATTTAACAACTGACATACGGTTTAATGTGAAGACAACAACAACAACAACCCCCTTCCTGTTCTGCTTCCTCATGAGACTTACTTTCTCGCGAGCGAAGAGCGGTCCAGCAGCCTTCTTAACATTGTATATACTACGAAGCAAATAACACATCGCACGAAGCATGAGATCGGGGAAGTCACCCCACCTGCACCAGGAAGTCGATGTACTCGAGCACGTACTCCGGTTCCGCGACGTACCCCTCGTGCTGCGACAGGCCGTGCTCCAGCACCCTCCTCGCTACCTCCGGCTCGCCGTTGACGTGGAACTCGATGGAGGCGTGCGCGAGGTAGAGCCGGTACCCCACCAGCCCCGCCCGCCGCATCGCACGGGTGGCGCCGAACGCCCGCCGGGCCGCCTGCTTGCCCATGTTGCGCCGGACAAACCTGTCCGATTCGTCGAGCGTCGGTGTTTTCCAAAATTTGTGTTTGAGGGGGGGCGGGGGGGGGGTCTGATTCGGTTGGAGTCTTGTGTTTCCGTACAGTACTCGTACGGGTGTTGACGTAGACGACGCGCGTGTACCCAAACACGAACCGGGCATCGAGTACGGAGCGTCGGTGTTTCCCAAGATGTGGGTACGAGCGAGAGCGAGAAAGCGGGGGTCTTAATGCTACCTGAATAGTAAGTGGAGCTTTCGTGTTTACGTAGCATACGCGCATGGTGTTGTGCTGAGTTGGTGGAGACACGCATGTGCGCAAGCAATACTGCACACGCAAAACAACCACAGGGAATTAATGTATTTCCCGAAATGCGTGTAAGAGAAGCGGGGGCGGGTGGTCTGCTGTCCTCAAGTATTGACACGCTTGCTTCCCTCCGATACATATACGTCCTGAGTTGATCCCATGGCGCTGTCGGTTCTACGAGTTTTTTGTGTTTCCGCCCTCGTATGGTGCTGTGTTGGAGACACGAATGCGAAACGAAGCCGGAGGATAGGATGGTCCGGCCCAACAATAGCCAGGTCCGGTGCCGGCACCGCCGCCGCCGCCGCCGCCACCGCCCCCGACCCTTCATTCACAACACCTACTACAACATTGATTATTCGCTTGCCGTTTCGTTTCGAGGAGGGTGGGATGGCGGTACCGGTGACCAAACCAAACCAGACAAACGAACGAACACGGGAGACACGCAGCACGAGATCGATCGAAAAATACAACCAACGCAAAAAAAAAAAAAACGAGAAATTTTTTGAAGCACGGAAAAAAGGAAATAGGGGAAGAGGCCCAGAACTGAACTCGATCGGAAAAAGAAATATATGTATGCATGTATGTATGCAAAACAGAACCAGACCTGAGGTACATGACGTGCCCGGTGGTGCTGCCACGATCCTTGAGGAACGCCTTCCAGGCGGCATCGGCCTCCTCGATGCGCCCCCTCCGCTCTTCCAAGTCCGCCTGCGCCACGCGCAGAAGGTCGCTACCGGGGATCACCTGGACAAGGACGGGGGGGGGGGGGGG